AGAGCTCCCCCTTCCAGTAAATTCTTCTTTCCCCTTTTCTCTTCTCTTCCTATACTCCATCTTCCCACTGAATGAATGGACTCCCCTCGAAATAACCAACAACTTGGTCGCACCACCAACCGCCTCGCACTTTATCAGCAACAAATCTCCCCCGCCCCGCACACCAAAGACTCAGAAATCAAGAAACCCACCATGGCAGCGCGTGACCCCATCACCTGCCATTGTCTGAACACTTTATCAGGAACACCCGCAGCCAACCTGCCAGTGACCCTGACCCTCCTCTCCGCCCCGACATCCGCCAGTGGCATCTCATTCCGCGCAACCACAAACGCCGACGGCCGCGTCGCCAACTGGACACCAGTCGGAACAGCCTCAGAGTCAGTGCCTGCTATCTTGGCTGCTCTACCTGCTGCAGACAGCAAGACCAATTGGTCTGTGCGATTTGACGTCGGCCCCTGGTACGAGGCCCAGGGCGTCGAGAGCTTTTGGCCAGAGGTCGAGGTTAAGTTCACTGTCAAGGGACGTGGCCGTGAGGGCGAGGAGGGCTGGCGCCATTATCATGTTCCTGTCCTCCTGGGTCCTTGGAATTACTCGACTTATCGGGGTTCGTGAAGATTTGGCTTAAATGAGGGAGGATGAGCTGGGAACTGTAAATATTTCAAACTACCCAGGGCTTGATAGATGTCAAGGACCATCTTCATTGAGAATGTGTTAATTTGAAGCATGTATCTTGGCTGTGGTTTTCATAGCTCGGTTATTGTCTAAAAGCTTTACCCTTGTGGATCCGTGTAGGCTTTAGAGGGTGAGGCTGCCCACCTGGGAGGTGAGGACAACAGCTTCCTATTGAGTAATATAGTCTACTTACTCAGAGAGCGAAGCAGCACGCAGAATACTTGAACTGGATACACTGAAGATCTTGTCACACCTTGGTCTTTCTCTAGATTTGGGGTCGAGTTGGCTGCCTGCTCTTGGAGTGTATTGCCTGTGAAGCAACTGTATCTTGAATGCAAATCTCTGCAACTGCCGGCATATATAGAGTCTAAATATAGTCGAATATTTCACTTAATTCCGGTATTTCTTTTTGGGTGTTTTGATAATCGAGGGACATCTGCAATATTTTCTATCACCGTTTAATAATGAAATTGATCTCTCAAAGGATATTCAATCTTCCCAGATGCGTCAAGAGCTGTCTTCCAAGTTTAATAGTCAATTTCGCTTAGCCCGTGCTTAACGAATGCACGTACAATCAAGGTTGAAGAATACTAAGACTGTGGGGAATGTCTCTCCACAACGGAAGCAGCCCTATTCTCAAAACTGACGGAATCGCCGGCATAGGGGTTCGACGGCCAATCTAGGCTAGGCCTTGGTACTTGTTACAGGTACTATCAAGGACGATGTATATGGTTTCCAATCGCAATATTATTAGTACCTACAATATACGGTTGGCCCTTTGCAAGATCAGAGGTCATAATGCGATTTTGTCCTATTTGACGCGATGTATCTTAACAATGTTATGTAACGGCGAAGTGCCGGACGCGATCTCGAACGTATACTTCGTACGCATACGGAGACGCGTCCACTAGTACGTACCCATCCATCCATACACAGCTGATTAATAATTATCCTCCTGACGCTCGGGAGGTAACAGGTCGTACAAGCTCTACACAGAATATAACCATTTCCTGTCTTCAAATATGTTGAGATTATAATTTCTACAATTCTACGTTGTACAATCTGTAGATCTAGATAGTATCTAGAATTCCAGTGGCAATTTGATAGAACCCTCACGTGTCATTGCGTCATCTTTTTACCGCATTCTTCGGGTTAGGGTGAAATCGATGGCCTTGGCACTGGAATATAATGTATTCTGATTGGTCTAAAGTATACATTATCCACAGCGGGAGAGATTTCTGTCGTCACCGTGACATAATGAATAATACAGGGCTGGGATGACCAACCCCCGGTATCAAAACTTCCAAGGATGCGACTCTCTACCTTTCATGCTACTGTCTCGAATGATATGAACTAGATTGATTCCGCTTTCCTGGATTGGCAAAGACTTGGAATCTCCATTGGTCAAGGTCCTAGGTAAGGGGTCTGTTCTTTATGTGTCATGTCTGAGATGGTAGCAGACAGAACAAGTACAAGAAAGAGTACAAGATACAGATAGAAGAGCAATCTTTTGAAGGGTACAAATGTCAGTGGAAACGAACGCCAAAGTTGATTAGAAAGACTGTTACAACATGTACGTTGCATACACATAAAAGTTTATCCAGTTTTTTTTTAATTACTGTATTTTGTGGTAATGGTGTATTTTTCATCTGTCAAAATCCCAAAATCCCTAAATTTCATCATATCCCTCTTCCCCCTACGTCACTCTCTTCCTTTCTCTCACTCTCTCTGGAGAAACTGTTTGTTTGGCCTTGCAGATTTTATATCCTATTATATTCGAATTTCAAATGTCTGCTGCGGTCGCTCCAGCCGTATCGACTCTTCAGAATATGTCTTCCCCAATGGACTCGAAGAAGACAGAAAAAGAAGGTTCGTGTCACGCTCTACATATTTTTTTGCGCATTTTTCTAGTACTTTTGATATGTTCTTGCATTATACTTCCTCCCCTTTTTGGTTTTGGTAATACGCCACTGTCCCCGAGCCTTAAATTCCCATTTGCCGTCGCGATGACTTCACCCTCTGGCGTCATTGATTTCCTCCCCACCACCTTGCACAATGAAGCCCCCGACTCGATCTCATAATCGCAGTGGTACCTATTTGCGATCGCATTGATTCTTGGCGCATCGCTAACAACTTTTGTCAGACTCGCAGGTCGCGTCACAGAAGGATCAAAAACCTAACGTAGAGACTCAGACCTCGTTGGCGCCGCCTCCACGACCGGGTGCGCCCACCGCGTCTGATACTCCGGACTACTTCAATTCCATGCACAATCCTTTCTCGCTAGAGCCCAATCCATTTGAGCAATCGTTTGGGGGAAATCCAGCAGAGACCCCAGGGAAATCGCTCCTCCCATCTGTCGCCGCCCTCACCTCACCGGCCTTGCCTGGAACAAGTTCTGCTAGCGGTTACAATTGGACCAACTCTCTACGCTCGGGACCTCTTAGTCCGGCTATGCTCCCAGGGCCTACCGGCCCCAATGACTACTTCGATAGCATCGGTCGCGGCTTCCCTACCCCGAACGAGTCCTCCCTCCGTACGGGACTGACACCTGGCGGTGGAGGCTCTATGTTCCCGGCGGCCCCCAGTCCCAGCTCACAAGCTATCTTGCAACAACTTCAGAACGGCGGTGCCACTCCATCCACTATTGATTTCCATCGCACCGCACTCGCAGCAAAGAAGAACAACTCGAATGCACCCACCTCCAACCCCAACGAGCAGGAAGCTGCTGCCACTATGGATGTAAAACCAGCTCGGCCCGCTGACTTCACTCAACACGATGCTGCTGATGCGGCAAACGGACTGTTCATGCTGGCAAAGGGTGGCCAGGCAAATAACGCGCCAATGAATCACCCCCCAATGCCAAATGATACTCGTGCTGCAGCCCGACGTGTCTCCCAGAACACCAATGGTACCAGTGCCGAGGATGCATCTGACCATGAACCCGCTAAACCAGCTAAGGGCAAGGGTAAAAAGAACGCCAAGGCCCCTGCCAATAACCGCCGCAAGGCCGAAGACGCCCCGAAGGGATCCAACAAAAGGACTAAAGCCAACACAGAAATGCCTTCGGATATGGATGACGAGGACGATGACGACGACGATATGAAGCAATTCCCAATGGATACCAAGAAGATGACTGATGAGGAGAAAAGACGCAATTTCCTAGAGCGGAATCGGTATGAATAACCACCTTTACATACTTAAGAGGTCAGAATGCTAACGTTCACAAGTGTCGCTGCTTTGAAATGTCGTCAAAGGAAGAAGCAGTGGCTGGCTAACCTTCAAAACAAGGTTGAGCTTTTCACCTCAGAGAACGATGCCCTTACTGCGACAGTAACTCAGCTGCGTGAGGAGATTGTTAACCTCAAGACTCTTTTGCTAGCACACAAAGACTGCCCGGTCTCTCAGGCCCAGGGGCTTGGCCCCCTTATGATGAACGGCATCGCAGCCGGATACGATCACCACGGGTATAACATGCCTCCCAATATGGGCATGCAACCCGGCGGCATCCCTACACAGGGCATGCGTCGGTGAGAAAACTTGCTTTGTTTCTCATCTCAAGATACCTATCTTGCTTTCCGCCGCATGTAGGAAACACAGTTCACTGCTTAGACCCGGCGGTTGATCTCTTCTTCCTAGGAGTTTGTTTTTCCTCGCGGTTTCTTTCGGCTAAGGCTTTGCCGACTGTTTTGGCATGGGCAGGTGTTAATGAACCTCACGACTCAAAAATGGACGGACTAACTTGGTGGTCTGGAATGACCTTTTTTTTTGAGGATGTGTCAATCCGGCGTATGAGATGCTTTTCTATTTATGGCTTCGAGGTTGCTGTTCTGCTTTATGATGTGTCCCCCTTTTTTCCCTTGTTGTATTTTTTTTACCCTTTTGCTTTTCTTTCTTTAATCCTCCCTGGTGGCTCAGAGGAATTTTTACCTTTCGCTTGTCTAATACTTGAGGGCACATCGGTGCATTGTTTTCCCAAATGTGGGGTTGCTGTCGAAATACATGATTCCTGGGTGGCGTACGGATGGCTTTGTTATTTTTTGATATGTTTGACTAGTTTCCTTGAACCAGATGGTTGAACAAATGATTCGACGATCGCCTTGAAAGTGTGTACATTCACGTAGCATTCACGTAGGTCTTTAGTATATGCCAGATGTAGAGGGAACTCATTGCGGTGCTTTACAGTTATAGCTCCTATTTCTGGGATAGGAAAGAGAAAGCAAATATGAAAGAACTAGTACTCGATTCGTATCTTTAGACATCGTATATCATTATCAGCATTGTATAGTACATATGTAAATACTTGGAAGTCATGTACAAGTTTGAAGTGCTCAAAAAATTCTTGTGGTGCTCGGCTTCATCCACATGGGCTTTTTACACTTGTTGTTTGCCTGCCAAGTCTGGATCTTGTCGTTGTCCCATCCAGCTGTGAATCTGTCCGCAATGTCTGGCTTGCTAGCACCTCCAAGTCGCAAGGTCTTGACAAACACACAGGTTCCAGCGTTGTCATACGTGTAAGACATACACCAATCCCTGTCATGGCACCCCTGACGACAGGCTTCTAATGATTCATGTTGGGGCAGAGTTTGAGGCTGTTCGATAATTCCACCCCAGTCTCCATTATCCCATCCCTGTCGCTCTGGCAAATGTCCCAGGCGAAGGTAGTCGGCCAAGTCTGCGTATAGTAGAGGATTCTGAATTGACATGAATTAGCATGTGTACCAGTAGGTTCGACAAAAGGGATCATACCGTTCTATCCCTCTGATCCTCCCAGTCTGCCAGTCCAGTCATATCACTCAATTGCGATTTATGCATGCTAATCGCAGGCTGGCACCAATGATGACCGTCACCAAAGGGAATCGAGTCCAGTGGGTGCGGATTGAACATCGGCCACATCCCAGTCAACTTGATGCCCTTTTGATACAGCGCATATCCAAGCACAGAGTCACCGCAGCAGTCATCTGCCATAGCTTTCATATACTGTTCGCTGAACGATTGTCCAATAAACTGCCCATATTTACCAGTCTCCCGCGCAACCAATGTATCAACCGCAGCTCTGGACAACACAAAGCCCGTGCCGCCGTATGCAAACCACATGACTTTTCCATCACCGATACTGCGGCCCGGAGAAGGCGATCCCATATACAAAGGGACCGATGAGTCGAACTGCTCCAGCATTCGGAACAGATTATCCCACACCATATAAGTATCCGTCTCGAGAAAGACATACCACTCCGCACCGGGGTTCACTTTCTTAGCCCGTTCCACCATGGGCAGGAACTTGAATCGATCGAGTCTCCACCCCGCCGTGCCGGTGATATTGCTATCCCCGCGCTGTAGCGCATCATACCCTTTGAACTCCGAGATCTTATTCCGGGCCGAGAGTGGCAAATCGGCTAGGATATCGTGCACATGATGGCCGTGGAGCTCAGTCTCCTTGTCTGATACAACTAGCAAGTTGGAAATGCAGCGAGTTACAGAGGCCATGTGTGTGTTGACTCGGTTTGGGTTTTCGGTTGCGCCGGTTTTTAAAGTAATCTGAATGCGCGATAACAGGTACGATGGGAAAGCGGCACAGGTTTCATTTTGCGATCTCCCTGTGGATTCGATTTCATTTCCATGCTGAAGTTTCCGAAATTGGGTTCTCGTTTCCCATGTCCAGTAGTCTTCCACGTCCGCAAGCTCGTCTTTTGCGCCAGGTGAGACGTTTCCTACCAATCCTCCCGAATATAGTGTGAGGAGGAGGATAGTCGAGACGGTTAGGAACACAGCAAGTAATTTGAGCTTTGCGTTTCCTAGTACTCTGAAAAATGGCCGCGCGGTCGCTGTAGTAGATGTGCCTGGGCCCATATTGGGGGATCGCACATTGGGTTTATTGAAGCAGGGACATCAAAGGGGAAAGGAGAACAAGACTGATAAAATATAAGTTTGATTAATGCTCTGTTAGGGCCGCTGATTAGGGCCTCTAGGGCGGCTCAAATCTACAGATCCTTCCTATATGGACGACTCACGGACGTCACTATAGCGGGTCGGCTCCATAGCCCCCAAATCCTGGCCCCGGGTTACATACACCCTGGCTGCACTTTCATTACGCCTTGACTGCGGATTGGCTTGGTCTAAGGCTATAGTCGCTGGAATTATGACCGAGCGGTCTGAGTTCCTTGCACGTATTCCATGATTGGCCTGGTGAAGAGCACGTTCCGCGGCTTCTTAGATTGCATAGCCGGATACTTAATGTGGAGACCTCATCGATGGAAGCCCACAAGATAGCCCCGGGAATTGTAATGAAAGAACATGGATTTGTGAGTTTCATGATTTGTAGCAACTTCGAGGGAATTTTATACGAAGGGTACATATATATCCAAGATCCATATCTGGCACGGCACTCCCGCCGGGCCTGCGGGCAGTAACTCAGATAACGATAGGGCGATAATAATTTTATGCCTTAGAAACTTGGCATCAATGCACGTCAAACATCACAAACACAAACATTCAAGCTTCAAGCTTGAGTCCGCTTTACCTCCATTGAGATGCAATTTGGAAGGTTCGTCTCAGACGTGCGTTGAAAGTCTACAGTCTAATCTCAGGCTTGATTCGCGATAACCCCCCCCCCCTTATACCCGTTACCTATCCGCGATATCTCCTTGCTCAACAATTCCTCCCCGAACAAAGCACCCACAACCCACAGACCCCAACCACGAGCGAACAGGTACAAGACACCGAACAATCCGCCCACTAGGGCACCGGGCAGACAATGTCAAACCCTGCCCGAAACCCTGCGCGCGGGCGCCGCTTAGACGACGCCCTCTCCCAGCTAGTCGATGGCCTGACCCCCGCGCTCCCGATCTCCGCCATCCAAGACGAAGACTACTCCGACGCAGAGGAAGCCCTCGCCGCAGCCGAAAGCCACCGTCACCATTTCCTCATGGAGCGCGCCTGGCGCATCCTTGACACCCACGCCAGCACCAACGCCCCAGACCCAGGGTCACCAGCGGGGCTTGGTGGACGGCGCGGAAGTCTCGCGGGAACAGAGAGCATCAACAACGCGCCAGATCTGATTAAGCGCAAGCTGCGGCGCGAAAACGTCAGCCCGGATAAGGCGGTACGGTTTTCCAATCTCTACTCTCGTCTCCTGACGCAGCCTGTGCTGTCGCAGAAATGGGGTATCCTCTTTTTGCTTTATAAGTTGTCCGCGTCGGATGAGCCATTGGAGGGCGGGGAACGGAGCCGGAGCCCGTTGATGGAGGAGGCGCATTTGCATAATATGTTAGGGAAGGGTGGACGCCCAAGACGAGGCACGATGATCGACTCGGAGGACGAGGGTCCCGCTGTTAGCTCGTCGGCCTCGCAGCAACACCAACGCGTACCCCCGATGAAAATGGAGCGTCAGAGCTCCTTGCGACATGATATCGATCGTGATGGTGTAGACCAGGCTGGGCGCAGCTCGACTGAAATACCAGCCACCCGTGTTGATGCTGGAGTGAATGACCGTTCTAGCGATGAGCATGTTCGTGCTGCCTCGCCTCGGCCCTCCAGTGCTAATCCATCGTCCCCGGCGGAATTCTCTGGATCTGTTGAGCATAGGCTCTTGCGCGACCTTCCGTTCAACTTGCAAGGGCTGTCTTCGTCGAATCTGCATTTCAATTCGTCGTCGAGCTTGAAATTGCCCTCTAATCTGTCTGCGCCTATAACCTCACTTCTTAACACGTTGGCGGAGCCTTGCCTACTCTATAAAGGACTGTCTGGGTTTGTGGAGGGCGAAGAAGGCGGGTTGGTGAACCAGAGCTTGCGAGCTGCCATTGCCATTGAGCTGCGCGCATATCTCAGCTTGGTGGCTACACTAGAGGCGGAAATCCGACAGGCGCTGGCCGCGATTGGAGACGGAACTGAAGCCCAAGGTGTACGAAAGGGTGGTGTTACCTTGAAGCGATGCGTGGTGTGGACGAGAGATGCTACAATGGCCCTTCGACTGATGAGCTTGATCGTGGAAGAGGCTCAGAGTAAGTGCACAAACAGATGACTATACTTTCTTGATGGCTGACACATCACAGGCAAGAGGGGTGGCCAGTTGATTTCCTTGATACATGGCTTTTCAACTTCCCACGGAGATCCCTTCGTGTGCGCATTCGCCGAGAAACTTCTTGCACATGTGACGCGTCCATTCTACGACATGCTACGACTATGGATTTACGATGGTGAACTGTCAGATCCATACAAGGAATTCTTTGTCGCCGATCCAGAGTTCCGGCCGAAGACTGACCCCCGGCGGCTTGCAACCAGCGTCTGGGAGGACAAGTATAAGCTTGATGATGACATGCTACCTTCAATCATTACTCAGGAGTTTGCGAAGAAGATTTTCCTGATTGGAAAATCGTTGAACTTCATCCGCCATGGCTGCGGCGATTCCGCGTGGGTGGAGGCCTATTCTAAGAAAGCCTCCAAGGAGCTTCGATATGGCGACACCGCCACTCTCGAGATCTCCATTGATGAGGCATATAAGACCACAATGGCTCGATTGATTTCCCTGATGAACGGGAAATTCAACCTCTTCGATCACCTAAAAGCACTGAAGAGTTACCTGCTACTGGGCCAAGGAGACTTCATTGCTTTGCTCATGGAGTCGCTTGCCACGAATCTGGATCGTCCAGCAAATTCACAATATCGACATACCCTAACTGCACAGCTAGAACATGCTATCCGTGCCTCCAATGCACAATACGACACCCCAGAAGTGCTGCGTCGGCTTGATGCCCGTATGCTCGAGCTGAGCCATGGTGAAATCGGATGGGATTGCTTCACATTGGAATATAAAACCGATGCTCCCGTGGACGTGGTCATCACACCTTGGGCGTCAACTCAATACTTGAAAGTGTTCAACTTCCTCTGGCGCATCAAGCGAGTTGAGTTCGCGCTGAATAGCACCTGGCGACGATGCATGACCGGCGCGCGAGGAGTACTCGGCAATGTAGAGGACAAAGTCGGAGCAGACTGGAAGCGAGCACGCTGCGTGATTGCAGAAATGATCCACTTCGTCAATCAGCTCCAATACTATATTTTGTTCGAAGTCATCGAGTCCAGCTGGGAACAACTTCTCGAAGCAATCCGGAGACCTGACTGCACGCTGGACGACCTTATCGAAGCACACACCAAATACCTCAACTCCATCACCCACAAGGGTCTACTAGGATCTGCATCCTCCTCGCGCTACGGCGCCTCGACCTCAACATCCGCCAAACAACCCGAAGAAAGCTTCCTCAGCCAGCTCCACCAGATCCTCAAGTTCATGCTTGCCTACAAAGACGCCGTAGACGGCCTGTACTCCTTCTCCGTTGCGGAATTCACCCGCCGCCAGGAGATAAACGCCAAGATCGAGACTCGCTCCGCCCAGGGTCAATGGGGCCTCACAGAACGCGATCTCCTCTCCCGCCAGTCCAACACCCGGACGGGGACCTCAATGGCCTCGACCCCGGACGTCCGACCCGACAGTGCCGGGGTGGACGGCGTCAACACCCCGCTTTCGTTATCTGGTCCCAATCTCGCCGCCGACGACAACATGCTGGCCTCGCTCCGCGTCCGACTCCGTGAAATCTCCGCTGAGTTCCGCTCCCGTCTGACTGTCCTCCTCGGCGATCTGTCGTACCAACCGGATGTAGATATGCGTTTCCTCGGCGTTGTGATGAACTTCAACGATGTTTATGAATTGCCTAAACGGCGGAAAGCGGCTGGTCCGAGTGCTAGAGATAAGGAGAAGGAGAAGGAGAAGGAAAGAGAGAGGGAGAAGGCGAAACGGAGGGCTGCTGCATCTGTTGCTGCTACGGGTTCCGGGACTGAGAGTTTTGTGCAGAAGGAGGTCCGTAGGGAGAGGAGGGATACTGGGGCTAATGATCCTGGGTTTGCTTCTGGGACATAGATGTCAGGTATCACATTCCCCTTGGGCATCATTAATGCAGTTGACGAGTTCCACGATATTTTTCTTTTCATATACATAAAACCATCAAAAGCTGAATACATAATAGCAACACAAAAATCCCGGGTTATATATAGAAAAGTTGTCTGCATTTTATGCTTCCTTTTTGGCCGACTACTATGTAGTATCTATAAAGCTGAGAAGGTGGAGATATTCGAGAAAAAAAGTCTTCTAGAAAGACAGCATAAGTGGCGATTCTTGTACACAACCTATTACTCTAGCACGACGCATAACGGGCGTTGCATCTGACAGTTTTAAGACGCGGGAGAGCGTCTGTGGATCTATTAGTGTCTCGTAGAAAAAACAATGTTCTTGTCGGAAAGGGTCTCAAGGCCAACCATCTTCGGGAGAATGAAAAGCAGAACCGTCAGAGGTTGTTTAGTTCTGCTTGGGGCCTTCGGAGTGATTGTCTTCCACGAATTTGCGGACCATTAAGGACTAGCGCGTGTCGCTCATTGTATGTGTGTACTTAGATGAAATATGGGCGATAGCACTGTGTATTTTTCGATTCTATCTTGTGGTGCTATGGAGAAGGGAAGGAAAGAAGAGGTGAACTTGATAACTATTGGGGATAGCTATATTGTTGCCTGAGGCATGTAGAATTAACTCCCGCGCAATTGACCGGCAGAAAAAAAGTTGTCTCCGCCCAATCTCAGCAAAGTCGAAGTCGCATCTACAGGCCCTTAACTCCAGATTTCAGCCTTCTTTAGAGCGCTCCTCTCAATCCTATATTGTGTTTTGCCAGGCCCCGTCGCAATATACCCACAGCAATGGCGCACCAGACGGACGTCCAGTCCCCGTCGAAAAAGCTCGATACGAAGCTCAAGAAGTCGAAGGATTCTACAAAAGAGGGAAGTGCAGACGCACAGCAATCCACCCCCAG